GCCAGAATTCTGGGTAGGAAACCTCTCCTGTGGGAAAAAAAAAAAATCTTTAAAAAAAAAAAAAAGAAACACATTTTGTGTTTAGCTAAATAGATGGAATTATTTTAATCTAATTAATTTAATTATTTAATCCACTTACCAAAGTATAAAAAGTACTTGTATCTGTTGACCCACTAATGCCATTTCCGCAGATTTAACCTTAGAAAATGTTTTTTTAAATATCTATAGTCGTGAACATACTCTTTGCAATATTATTTGTAACATGAGAACATCTAGAAATAATCTAAATGATCTCTGAAAGAGTTACCTATAGTATGCACATCGGTTTGGTGGAATTTGATGCAGCCATCACAAATGATCACGCCAGACACTATTGAGTAAAACAAAAAAATGCTTACGCACACTGTTGAACAAAAAACAGGTCACCAAGTAGTAGCTGTACCATCATTACAACTATTTGAAAAGTGTGTACCTGCGGAAGACTGGATGAGAAGAGAAAAAAGAACCACAGTGGTGTTAGGATTTTAAACCTGTTGTGTTTTAACTTCTCTGTATCGTAAATCGTACAATTTCTTATCCTGATTCGAATTATAAGATCACATTTGTTGACATTTTGTCAGCCGCTTATTTCATTTACTAATATAATACTACATCTAAGAGATTTGTTTTTGAGGATCAGCATAGTCTAAAGTTTTCTTGAGTTCATCAAAGAAACCAGGCCAAACCCAAGTTCGACAGTCAAGGGATAGATCCTGTTTTATTGGTGATCATTAGACAAAAATGTGTCTTGAAAGCCTTGGGAAATTTGCTCTGTTCAGGTAGGTACCAGGGATGCAGATACACATCTGGCACGTGGCGCACTTCACTAGCCCCCCTCGCAGATAGCTCTCAGCAGTACAAGTTTTCACAGGAGATTTTTTGTTTTTTGTTTATTTTTTCAAAAGCAGAAATAATGGGAGAACAGCTATTTCAGTGTATTTATTCTGTTCCATTTCTCGTGTTGGGAGAACTTGAAGCTAGGAAAAAATAAGACCGTAAAAAATGCAGATCATGCCAAAGCAGTTGACTAGATCCTCTGAACCTTCAAAAAGGCTGGTTTGGGGACAAATTCTAAGTGGATTCCTAGTTATCAATCCCTTTAAATACATTGAGAATTCTCCTAAATTGCATCTTGCAAGAGAGCAAAGAGTGGAAAAGTATAATAAACCAGTCCTTAAGCTGTACCAGCCACACACTCACATGCATGAAGCAAACAGAGAGGAATGAGGTGTATTAGAATGACCATTTGTATGCAATCTGAATCTTGGTTTATATCACTGAAGGTGAAAAGAGTGTTGAGACAGAGAAACAAAAAGTCAAAAGCCCAGCACTCAGATTGTATTTTGGGAGAATGACACTCAAATGTCTGGCACCAGGCACTGGCATAATTGTTTTTGGGAAAATAAGGAATCTTAGATTTTAATAGTTATTAAAGAGCCCACAAATAGGCTGCTTTCAGATCTTTCTTGTCAGTGTGGCAAAGAGTAAGATAAATTGACAGGGAGGGTGTCAGCTCATCTGTTGCCAGTTCGTCTGTGAGCATGTTCAAGAAAGCAAGAATTACTGGAGAACTAACCCCAGAAGTGTGCATTCATGTAGAGTTTCCTATCGTATGAGACTGCATTGACATGGATTTGCTTCAACACAAAGATAGCCTTTTTGTTCATACGATAGTATAAATTCAGCATAAATTTCATATACATACATGAGAAGTTTTTGTTCTCAGTTAAGTGTGTCTCTCTTGTCCTGCTTGTTTTGTTGAGCCTAATCCAGTTAAGTGTTGGTTAGGGACTGGGGATTTGTGGTGTAGAAAGCTCCGCAGCTAATCAGCTAGAGTGGAGGACAGTAGTTCAGGGGAAGGGCTTAATCACTTTCGCTTTTCAAATTATAAACTCCTGGTTAGCCTTGTTTTCTTCTGTTCGAGAAGACAGACGCAATGAGAAAAAAACAAGAGGGTACTCTGTAACTTCCTAAGTCATCTCTGGATTCTTAATATCTCTCAGAGTGTCTGGCCTATAATATTTGTTCAGTAAATTTTTTAAATTAAATAAATGAATGAGGTGATGAATAAAGTCGGTTCATTGCTGTGTATATGGAATACAAGGCTTCAGCTAGCTCGAGGTTTAAAAATAGTGCAAGATGTCATTTATAATGCCCGTTTTCAGATGTAGCATGATACGAATTATAGCGGTCTTCTTAAAAGGAAGCACTTTGCTCAATAGTGGGATATGGATATAATGGGGAGGAAAAGTACCTAGAATTGAATGTGATCATTTTATGTACACAAATCCAAGAAAACCTTTGCTTTTAAAATCATAACATGGTTCCCGTTTCTCTTTCTTGCTGTACTCCAAAATAAAGTGCTTGGGGTCTGTATATTTTCTCAGTTTGTGGAAAGATACGTGAAAAATAAAAACTGTCTCCTTGAAGCACAAAGTAGGAGCATGAAATATTAAAAGGACATTCTGTGTTTTAGATGGCCCTCTTGTGGTAACAAGGTCAAACTGTCCCAAATGAAGCCGGTGTTGGCAACTTCCTGATTTGAGCAGCCATCATGACAAACTTCAATAGGAGGAGTCAAAATTGAGCAGACACATGAGAAATGATCCATTTTCACCCTTTCCCCAGGGACTCCATCCACAATTAACAGATATAAACCAAATAGACAGTAACAAAAACTAATCTTTTTCCCTCTGCTTCATATATCTACCAAGTGAATTTCTAATGATCAGAAACATAGCACTTGGAAACATTTTACTAAAAAGCTATCAAGTTTTACTTTTTATACTTTTACTTGTAAATAATTTCAGATAGCACAGAAGTTGCAAAAATAGAACCAAGAGTTCCTGCCTATCTGTCACCCAGTTTACCTAAATATTAACCACTCACACGACCGTGTCATCACTTACAAAACAAATTGGCGGTGATATTCTGCTGTTAGCCAATCTACACACTTCAGTCAGATTTCACCAGTTTCTCTACCAATATCCTTTCTCTGACCCCAGGATCATTCAGTCGGTGACAGTGTTTCATCGTCCTTTGCCTTTCACGGCCTTGATACTTTTAAGAGAGTACTGATTAGTTATTTCGTAAAACATTCCCCCCCTTCGGTTTGTCTGATGTTTTGTCATGATTAAATTCAGGTTATGCAGTCTCAGCAATAATAAACGAAAGTGATGTGGTGGCCTTTTTATCGGTGCGTCCTATCAATGGATACATGATGCCATTATGTCTTCTTGGCGTTATTAACTTTGATCACTTGGTTAAAGTGGGGTCTGCCAGGTCTCTTCACTGTAAAGTTACTGTTTTTCCCTTGGTAATTAATAAGTACATCAACATAATTTAAATTAGATGTCTTACCATAATTCATATCAAATATGCATTTTCTTTCTCATGGAAGTCCTACTGAGATGGGGTTATAACTTGTGCACTCAATGAGGAACTCAAGTTATTCGGTGTCTTTTTTTTTTTTTTTGCAAACGATCTTTTCCCCCTTCGCGTGTGGCCTTCTACCACCAGTCTTGCACTTTAAGTCAAAATCCTCGGAAAGATTCTATTTGCCAATGTTGACTGAGCCCCCTGCGCTTCATGACCTCGTAGGTATGTCGAGAGTACCAGCGAGGCAATTGCAACAGAGGAGAAAACGACTGTCGGTTTGCTCATCCTGCTGACAGCACAATGATTGACACCAATGACAACACAGTCACCGTGTGCATGGATTACATCAAAGGGAGATGCTCACGGGAAAAGTGCAAATACTTTCACCCTCCCGCACATCTGCAAGCCAAGATCAAGGCTGCCCAGTACCAGGTCAACCAGGCTGCAGCAGCTCAGGCTGCAGCCACTGCAGCCGCCATGGTGAGTAGCGGCCCCGGCTCTGTCTCTGCTAGCCGCCAGACTGAACCACTGTATCTGACTACAAGCTGTTCCTTTATTAACCTTTCAATTTTTTTTTTCTTTCTTCTTTTTTTTTTTGCTGAAGATATGTTTGTTCAGGTATCCCCGACAATACATAATGAAGTTAACCATTCACAGATGTGAGGGTAACTCCTCAAATGGTTCCGATTGCTCCTACCCTTGGCCTAACTCTTACTACTCTGTCTTATTCTGGATATAGGGTTTCTGAAATTTCCGCTTTGTAAAGAACACCCGTCTCCTTTTTCAACCTAACGATACTGCCATTTTCGGTCCTCTTATTTTTCTGTGTGCCATCTAATCAGCCGTTGTTCCCCTTCGGTGTGTTCTTTTGCACATCAAGGCTCTTCTCTACATGTATCTTGCTTTTAACAAGAACATAATCTGGAACTATTTAGGAGAATTGCTTAAGCAAAATTGTTCTGAGGATTAGCCACCAGATTTTCAACCGTGTGCTACCTAGATCGTCTTAAGTCATGTTGTGGCATTAAACATAATTGTCAAACTAGAGAAGCTTGGCTTTGCCATCGTACAGAAAGGAGAAAGACAGCAGTACTCAAGGAGTTAGAGATTGGATCCTTTAGAGCAGATCCCTATATTCTTAAGGTAAATTTTAATGTGATCTAATAGCTGATTTTAATGAGTCCATTCTTTGTTCTTTGCTTAGCTGTTTTAATGTTGTCCTTTTTTTTACATAAATATATATGACTTAGTCATGAAGATATTCATAACACATACTGTGTGGTATTCACAGCACAGTAAAATAATCACGAGAGAGGTCTTTTCTGTGTTTGTTTACGGATACTTGAGCAAAAATACAGAAGGCAGACTCTCTCCTCCTCTCTTCCTTTCACTCTTTTTTTTTTTTTCTGTTAGAGTATCTTGTTTGTAATTAACTACAAAGAGGAGTTATCCTCCCAATAACAACTCAGTAGTGCCTTTATTGTGCATGCTTAGTCTTGTTATTCGTTGTATATGGCATTCCGATGATTTGTTTTTTTATTTGTTTTTTCTCACCTACCCAAAAATGCACTGCTGCCCCCATGATGCACCTCTGCTTGCTGTTTATGTTAATGCGCTTGAACCCCACTGGCCCATTGCCATCATGTGCTCGCTGCCTGCTAATTAAGACTCAGTCGGCTGTCAAATCACTGAAGCGACCCCTCGAGGCAACCTTTGACCTGGTACTATGACCTTTCACCTTTTAGCTTGGCATGTAGCTTTATTGTAGATACAAGTTTTTTTTTTATCAATTTAAAAATATATATTCCTTTTTCTGTTATAAAATTGTAAAGTACAATGAAAAACTGAGTGTGGTTTCCTGACAAAATTAGTGGGAAGACTATACTATAAGTACCTGGACAGATATCATACCATGAAAGATTCCAAAAGCCCAGCAGCCCACATTCAGTTTAACTACATTGTAGAATGTTCTAGTGAAATACTTTAAGGACATTAAAAATGTATTTTTGACTGTATATTTATGTACCTGTTTGGTTAGCATGGCTTTAGTGATAGAATTATTTATTTGTAAATATTTATAGTTTAGTGTTTAAGAAAAAAAAAAAACTTGCATGCTCTGGGATATTTGCATGTCTAGGTAGGTCTGGGGGGAGGAGCAGAGTGGAAATAGTTTTTATTTTACCTGTTTCGGTCACTCTGTACAATTAACAATTAACATTGCTTATACTCGTCAATCCTCATGGAGCTCGCAGTGCAGCTTTTCTTCTTTCCCCAAATCAGTGGCTTCTCACAGAAAGCCTGAAGCATTATGGGACTTAAAACACTTTAACACATTATAACATGTGCTCTCATCCTAGTGGGGTTTTTTTTTGGTATGGTTTGGTTTGGTTTGGGGTTTTTTTTTTGTTTTTTGCTTTTTTTTGGACAAAAATAATGCTTCCTTTAAAGCTTTTATCTTGCCTTTTTTTTTCTTTCATTTTTGTTGATTGGATTTTTTTTCCCCCTGGGTAGTTCAGTGCTCTGCTGCTTGCTTGCTCATGCTTCCTAACAATTTTAGCCTTCAACTGATTTTTCTTTTTTCTTTTTCTCTTTTTACTGGTATTTGTTTTTTATACTCATTCACTGAACAGGGAATTCCTCAAGCTGTACTTCCCCCATTACCAAAGAGGCCTGCTCTTGAAAAAACCAACGGTGCCACCGCAGTCTTTAACACTGGTATTTTCCAATACCAACAGGCTCTAGCCAACATGCAGTTGCAACAACATACAGCATTTCTCCCACCAGGTAAGGGGTCTGAGCTTGTTAATGAACGAATCTGACGAGCTGCAGAGAGTTGTGCTGGTAGAGCAGATAAGCCTTGCCCCCAGTTTGCTGTTAGCCGTAGATAAGGTGAAAGGTAAGGTGGTCAACAGTGGAAACTTACCTGAGGTATCTCATGTGGTTTTCCTTAAAAACGGAGAATTTTAGCTTAATGAGAAGTGGATTAAAGATCAGTGTGATGTGTTATATATTTCTTTTTGTTTGTGTAATTTGGAATTGAAATACAGTTCTCTCTTTTTTCTTTCCTCCTTCCTCAACACTGTTATATGTCTGTCAAGCTATTTTATGACACTTCCTGCTGTAAGACCCCTTTGCCGTCATGATTCCATAGAGTAAATCTGAATTCGATGAAATGACACTTCCAGTTTTGATTTTTATTTTTCAGCCTTTTTGTTTTCAAGGTGGAGAATAAAAACAAAAACAAAACAAAACAACAACAAAAAACTGACTCTGTGTTCCAGAGCTCTTCAAAAGTGCTCTTATTGCTACCAATCAGTACATTGCTTAAAATCATTTTTTGCTCCTGAGCTAATATTGAAATTCTCCTAAGTGCCCAGGGAGGTTTACGTCTACTACTGAGTTATACATTTGTGGTTTCAGTTGATTTCAACTTAGTGACATAAGCATACTCTAGTGCTATCCACAAGGGTATAAAATTTAGAAACAGTCATTTAATTACTTGATAATTTATTATTTTTACTCTTCGTACAGAAGAAGAAATACATATTAAACTTCTTAAAACCTGGAAAATACATATTATTTCAGAAAATACACATTAAACTTCTCATAATCTGGAATTCAACTAACTAACTGGAGACTAATCCCATTTTCCTCTTTCCCTCTTAACCTTTCTGAAATAACTACCATGGGTTCAGAGATGTATTTAATAAAATGATTTTATCTTACTAATTAAATTAATAAATGAATGACAAGGTGTGTAGGTCAGAGGTCCAGCATCATCAGTATATTACCCTATATTGACAGTATTTAAATGCATTAGGTTCATAATGCCGTGAGGGAATGTGATCACTTATTTTTGAATCATGAACAAAAGAATAAATTACATTCACGGTAATTTTTACTGCTAAGCACAACTTTTTATACAGTGTATCTCCGAAAGCTGGCCATCCAGATGTAGAATATGTAGCAACATTCAGTGAACTGGAGTATCTGGAGTATTCCATGAATTAAAATAGCATATGCCTTAGGCACCATGGATAAAATGTTTGTACTCACGAAATAAGATCTAGCAAGTTGCGGTTTGTCCATTGTAGAATACAAATTAAATCATTTTGATCTGTAAGGTATTTATGCATTCAGAGGAGAAAAATCTCTCATATCTTACATATTTCTCCTATATTTTATAAGATTAAAAATTTTTTCTCAACATATATAGGTCTTCGGAGATTTCCAGAATTTAATCTTTTTGCTTTTATATAAAAATTGCCATACCCCTAGATTTATGCCATCTTCAATAAATAATCTATCAATTTTTCTATAGCCAGATCACTAAAGTTTAAAGAGATTGTGGGTAGCTACCATAATCTCTTTGAAGAAATTAAAGATTATTTTTGTCTGTTTATTTTCATTGAATAAAACATTGCCATTCAAAGTGAGTGTCTTTAAAATCTAAAAATAAAAGAATCTAACTTCTTCCATATATTATTTAAGGAAATCTAACATTTCTATCTTATTACATGGGTTTTATGTTAGTTTCTCCAACAACATTCTGATGACTAAGGACTTTTCTAAATAAGCTTAACCATTAATTGAATTTATGCAATGATATTTATGACAGTAATCCCTCCCTAGAAAGGCTTTTAGTGTGTGGATAAGACAGAGCAAAAGAAGCTAAGTAAGGATCAAGTTAGGGAAAAACAATAAACACATTCATAATTCGGAATCATACTTATCTCTCTGTTCTAGAAACTAAGCATTGTTAATTTAAATAAAATGTGTCACATATATTGAAGTGTGCTGAAAATGTTAAGATATATTTGCATTTTATGATGAATTTTGCATCAGAGATATTCTATATTCTGTTCTTGATATTTCTAATAAATATGATATGAAATTATTGCAATAGTAATATAAGATTACACCTATTTGTAACCCAGTTTAAAGGGCTTAACCTTTATTAGTCACATAATCAGAAGTAGGTAAAACCTTAGTCATTCTTTTAAACTATTGTCATTATTTGTCATATGTGCTTGAGTACAAAAAAAATTGGCTGTATGACATTAGAAGGTTAAAATGGATAACCCATCTTTACTTCTGCCAAACCACTTTGTCAGCCAGCCAGAAAGGAAAGAAATGTAATGCAGAGAATGTAAACTAAAATGCCTTAGGGGCCAGGCAGGAAACATAAACAAATGAAACAAGAAATAAATTAGGAACTGTGGGGCCTGGGAGGCACTGGGGAGCACAGGCCCAATCTAAAGGGGGACGGTGAATGTTTTGACTTAGCCTTTAATTGCCTCAGAGGAATATCCGCCTGGCAGGTTGTACCTGTTGTACACTGCACATCCTTTGTGGCTCCATCTACTTTATAGGGTAGTTGTGTCTCTGCCTCCCATGCAAGCCTGCACAATCTAATGTAGTGGCCCTGGTGTCCAGGGTTGCCAGATCTTGTGACTTTTTTTTTTTTCTAGTTATTTACCTCATTTGGATGTTTATACGTGAAATTTCTCAATTTTTAAAAATTTTCCAGCTAATTCAATTTTTAAATACTCTTTAAGAACTACAGGAAATCCGTCCCACCACAAATTGATGTAATCTCATATATAATACCTGGGAGAAAAGGAAGTTTATTTGCCAAAGACTATGTTACTCTGCAGGCATACAGATGAATTATATGATCAGAGCATCCTAACTGCCCACAATATAATAATTTGGAAGGTATATTCTGAAGGCTTTATTGGAACTGAAAAGAAAATAGAAGTTATTTATTTTTTTGTAGCTTAGAGTTTTAGAGCTCTGTAGTCTCTTGCTTCACTAATAACTTCAGTGGTATGTAGGTCTATTCATTGAAGTTACAATGAAGTATAGTTGTCTAAACCATTAGAGGAGGTGATTGTATACAGACTAGGTTGCCGGCAAAAGATGGGGGTCCAGTGGCAAGCCAGGTAGCTAGCTAAAAAGAAATTACTATATATCATAACTTTTAATAGCAAAAGTGGACTTATGTGGCACCTACCCATCTATCATCCCTCCATGCATGCATGCATACATCCATTTATCCATCTATCCGTCCAACCATCTATCTCTTCTTCCTTCTTATCCTCCTTCCCTCCTTTGTCTCTCACCCTCCTTCCCTCCCTTCCTCTTTTCCTTCCCCGTTTTCCATCCATCCATC